TTTTTCCATGCCATTCCTTGCTCAGAAATTATCTGAATTAATCGAAAATCAATTGTACTCGTTTTGTTATTGTCATCGTTGTTCTTATTATATAACATATAAGTTCGGGAAATTTGTAATTTGTATTGTTCTGATTTAAAATAATCACTTAAAATTGATACAAAAATATTATTATTAAATTTAATAAAATCTTTTTTATCAATTTTATTAATTAATTCGAATATATTTTTTATAAAGTTTACATCTTCCTCAATCGTAATTTTGCTAACAATGATAGGTGTACGTAATTTAGAAAGTTTTTTGAGTATCGAAATCATACGTGTAGATTCAACACGTGTAGAAGATGATGCGTCATTTTGATTTTTATATTTATTATATTCTTCACGTGGATAACAAATGGCCGAATATAATGAAAATATTCTCCCGAAATTTTTAAAATTAGGTGAACACATATAGATGAAATCCAGACATCGTGGAATATGAGTACATATTATATATATATAGTCGGATTCAAATAGTTCAATTATTTTTTGGCTTACTCCGCTTTTTTCATCGGTATTTACCTCAATAATTTCTGTAATGTAATAATTATTCATCTGTTTTAAAATAATTAATATATCATTCTTCAATTTATGAATATCTGAATGTTGAATAAATCCACCACACTTATAATCATCTTGTATATCATTCATTTCTAATAAGTCTATTCTATTAATTTTACTGTAATATTGGTTCACGTGATTAACCAGATTTTCTTCCCAATTATTAACTAAGACTGGTTCAATCGGAGCATTTGCACTACTACTTTCAGGTAACTCATTTGTACTCACCGGTGATGCTGATACACGGACTAATAATTGCATTCCATGAAAAACTATAAGCTTAAAAAAAATCATTTTATATAATTATAGAATATACAAATTCGCGATGAATGATTACAGTACTTACTGAAGGATATACTCGATAAAATTGGTAGACATTACTTTATGTTAGATTATTTATTGCATCACCTCATTTTGAAACATTTAGAAACACATGATTATACATACAAAGTATGAATAAACATAAGCACTTGTGAATTTTTTTATGCCCTACAACAAATAAAATTTTGTTGGTTTCATCGTTCATATTCTACTAAGATTATTTTCATATATTGTGTACTAGTTTACGAATGTAAAATTGTAAGAAATTTTGAATACTTATAAGACAGTAAGACATTATGAATCAATATTTCCCAATAATAAATTAAAAGTATCCGTTTGTTGAGTTTTGATAAAATCGAATAATTCGAAGGAAATCCAAACATTTATGATTATGACTTTCGATACAAAAGATGAAAAAAAGACGAAAATCACACTATGGTATATATGCTCATCATCAGAAGTATTTTTTCTAATGCTAAACATCAGTGGATCGCTTTTTCATCCAATTACGACAATATGAAGAATAAACTAATTAATCAACAGTTGTTTTCAATGTTCGTATTATCATTCACCTAACCCAGAAATTCTCAAACTTTTATATACGCTGTACTCCTTTTTATCAATAAACTTCTTTGGGTATCCCTTCTTAGTTAGAAAAACTGAAATAAATATTAAAAAAAATGAGCCGTTATATTTTTTAGTATAAATAAAATAATTATATACTTATTAGTATTTGGCTTATGAGTTAATATTCTGGATAGAATTAAAATTTTTTAACATAAACTCCATACAAAAACGAACAAGAAAAACCCTTTTATTGAAAATCTACCCGGTGTGCAAAATCCTATAGCATAGTAGTCGCATAGTTGTCACACTGATGGTTGAGAAGTTACGAATAAGTGCCTGTTGATTTCTCAGAGATGTGTTATGGGCGCTTAACCCCAGGTTGAACGAAGTTACTGTATGCGATATCAACATGTGATTACTAAGAGTAGTCAATAATGTCATATTGAGAGCTTAATAATGTTAGTACATAAAGATTAACGGAACTTCTCATTTTCTGCGCATGGACTTCACAATGGTTTTTTTCCAGAAAATAAAAAAAACTGTAAGTTTATTATTTCATGTTCGACGAGATTTGTACCGTACACCCCTACCTACCTATTCCTATACCTATACTACTGGGATACCCTATCGTGACATGATAATAAATAAGTTAGTATACTAAAAGTAAAAGTAAACATTATATATGTAACATTATACAATGATGCGTTTATAAATAAATCGGTGATGGTTTTTTATATAGAATCTGGTGGTAAATATACTTGTATTTACAATAAATTTTTATTTTTATGATATATTTATGATAAATAAACTATTTAGTATTATTAGGAATAATTTTCAATAAATTATTTAGGTATATAATTTATTATATTCATATTTAATAATAGATACTTTACTACTTTATTGTCAGACACAAAACGTTAAATGAAATGTAATAAAATAGCGAGCAACGACTAAAAAATAAAATAAATAAATCATAACCAAATCATAAGTATACAGTTCGACAGCGACCGTCGGGATGACGAAAATATACAATATTCGATAACAATGTAATTATATATATATAACCATATCAATATATTCGTTTAGACGGCAATTAGAATGATAGAACTTGATATGATGTTGTGAGTAAAACCCTTCGTGATAATTCTTATAATTTATTATTATACAAACGCAACGTATACAACACACCAATAAATGCGGGTTTTTCGATTTACTTTGTTCATCATACTATTATGGTCATTATAGGCATAGTGAAAATGTTAAATATAATCTTATTTAGTAGATAATTTATATAGATTTACAACTTCAACAAAAATCCATGGTCCAATAATCGCTAGAGGTACGACAGGTTCCATTTGTATCGTTATAGTTATTACTATAGTTCAGTGATTCCCAAACTTTTTCCCATCGCGGCACATTATTAGTTTTTATAAGTCACGGCACACTTTAGATAAATATTATCTACTTATCGAATAATAGGTATATAATGATCGTTATTAGGTAATAATATTATTATCTCTCGATACCGTTTTCTCGATTACGTTCAAACCACACCACGACAAGCCTAAATTTTATTGAATTTTTGCCACGTTTGTTTTATAATAACTATGGATAAGTTTTTAAATATAAAAAGAAAACTTAACGATTACGATGAAAATAATGGCGATAGTAAAAAAAAAGAAAACGACAGTTACTGAAACCATCAAATCTGGTACACAATCTTCTAGTGCAAGCCGTAAGTACCATGATAATTATTTAAATTTTGGTTTCACTTTCTGTGGATCAGAAACTATTCCTATTCCTCAGTGTTTGGTATGTGGAGAAAAACTTAGGAACGAATGTATGGTACCTAGTAAATTAAAAAGGCATTTTACTACTAAACACGGACATTTGTTAAATAAAGACAAAACTTATTTTAGCCGTTTATTATCATCAAATGTAAAACAATCAAAACAATTGGAAAATCTTACAAATATATCCGATAAAGCTCAAATTGCTAGTTATAAAGTTGCTGAATTAATAGTTAAAAAAAAATGCAGCCTCACACTATAGCTGAAAATTTAATATTACCAGCTTGCAAAGAAATTGTAAAATCAATGTTAGGTGAGAGTGCTGAGAAGGAAGTTTCTCGTGTTCCATTATCAAATAACATAATATCTCGATTAATTGACGATATGTCTTCCGACATTCAAAAACACGTCTCTGAAATTTTATGTGATGACCGAAAATTTTCATTACAAATTGACGAATCGACCGATATTAGTCAAAAATGTCAATTATTAAGTTATATACGATTTATTGAAAACAATGAGGCTATCGAACAATTTTTATCTGGTACTGAATTATTCACAACATCGACCGGGCAAGATATATATAATTGTGTCAGTGATAATCTACAAAAAAATGAACTGTTATGGACAAATTGTATTTCCGTATACACAGATGGAACTCCTGCAATGACTGACAAATTTAAAGGCTTTGTTTCGAAATTAAAACAAGATTTTCCAAATATTATTTCAACCCATTGTTTTATACATCGTGAAGCTTTGATGATTAAATCGATTCCAGATGAGCTTAAAAATGTTCTTGATTTGGTAATTAAAATGATAAATTATATTAAATCAAGAGATCTTAAAACACGAATTCTCAAAAAAATGTGTGAAGAAGCTGGTCTCGTTATGAAGTTTTAGTTTTACATACTGAAATTCGATGGTTATCAAAAGGTAAGGTTTTAAACAGATTTTATGAAATTAAAAATGAATTGTTGCAATTGTTCAATAATGAAGACCCAAACAGCGATTTCGTAACTCAATTAAATAATTATAATCTGCAAAATTTGTTTATCTAGCTGATATTTTTAACCATTTAAATATCCTTAATTCCAATATGCAAGGTAAAGATGAAAACATATTAACATCGTCTGATAAATTAAATGGGTTTTTACGGAAAATTAATCTTTGGATATCACACGTAGAAAAAAAAACAACTGCAAATGTTTCCATTAACAGCAGATGTTGATCCAGATGGAGAAGTAACATCTGAATTTAATAATAAATCATCTTATAATTTTAAAAGAAAAAATGACAAAATATTTCCCATCTTTGGTTATTAACGAATATGATTGGGTGCACAATCCTTTTGCTGTAACATCAGATGTAATATCACATCTAAAATTAGTTGAACAAGAACAATTTTTAGAACTTCAGTCTGATAGTTCATTTAAATTAAAATTTAATGAACTTAAACTGTTTCAATTTGGAGTTTTATTAAAACTGAGTATCCGATAATTACAGAAATTGCAATAAATATATTATTACCATTTTCTATAACATATCTCTGTGAACTTGGGTTTTCCGCACTAACAAATATTAAAAATAAGAAACGTGAACGACTTTTATCAGTTTAACAAGAAATGCGAGTGTGTTTATCGTCGATCCCTCCTAGAATTGAACTATTATGCAAACAACATCAAGCACACGTTTCACACTAAAATTTATAATTATATATTTTTTTTTGTAATTTTAAAGTTAATTTTTTTATTAATTATTTTTATTTGTATTATATATTTTAATATTTTGAAAAAAATCATTTTATGTTTTTTTATAAAAAAAAGTTCAAGTTGTCGCGGCACACCCTTTGGGAAACACTGCTATAGTCAATAACAGCGTTTCCCAAACTGTGGTCCGTGGACTCTGAGGGCTCCGCACGTATACCGGAGGGGGTCCGCGAAAGTAAATTTAAAATTTACAAAGTATTATAATATATTATTGTTTTTTAGTTTTTATTTGTACTAAGGGGTCCGCGATCATTTTTATTATCTCTAAGGAGTCCGGCAGAAAAAAATGTTTGGTATTTCAAATTATGTTTCGTTAATAAATAATAAATAATTGACCGCAAGAAAATGTTATATACATATATTTTGGTTTTTTATTTTTTGCTTAACATGGTAATTACTCATTACATACTGAAATATGCATGAAAGTCCTTAATATAACTAGATTATCCCGAACTTCATGTGATGACACATAGAAATTGTAATGTGTTGTCAATTTTGGGACTCAAAGAGTACTTCGCGTACAGACTAATGATTTACATTACATGTTCAATCTAAATGTGCCTACGTATCGAAGTCTTTTTTGCGATAAGTTTTTATTGATGTTCATGAGATGGATAATGGATATAAAACGGGGAGGTCACATTTGAGATCCAAACAGAATATCACATGGTAGTGGAAGTCACACTATTGCACACCGGGTAATTATAACACAGTATTACATATTTAGTTATCCACTGGTTAATAAAAAGTCCATTATTTGGTCTTTTTGCATTTTTAAAAGAATTACAAATATAATAAATATCAGGTAGAAGATAGTATGCTTGTAGTAAACGTGTTATAATTATTAAACAATAAAAATACATTCAATTATGATGACAACTAAGAACGGCTAGCGGTACGGCAATTATTGACGTGAACCCATTTTCAATAGCGTCTATAATGCGAAGCTTATTCTCTCTGGCCCCTTCCGGGAATCCGTCAAGCCGGCCGTATCATTTTACATGTTATAATTGAAACTGTCGGGGGGCAGTTTCACTGTAACCATGATTATAACAACATTTTCTTTATCATGACCGTCGTTTTCGTCGAAAAAACTTATGTGGTATTTCTATTGAAATAACTATTAATAGGTTTCGGACTTAGTGGCTTTCAGTTTAATAATATACAAAGAAAACAATATAAGTTATATAATACCATTTCATTTCAAATAATTTTATTTTAATGCACTTTTAATTTAATGAATTATTATTTACAAGTAACTGGATTTTTTTTTATTTAAAGGGGGAAACGCAGTCTCAAAGTTTCTCCCGACGAGTCACCCCTGATCATTCCCATCAAAATAAAAAAACAAACTTTTGGCTCGAATCAGTAAATTGTGCACATGACGCAAACATTTCACACCGACCTGCATTTCGGTTATCTTGAAATTTAATTCATTTCTCTGGCAGCTATACACCGTCTCGTTTCAATATTTTCGTTATATTTTCACTGTCACTCATATTTTAATAGAAATTATTATAATATTATTCTTAATTATAATAATAGAAAATATGAGTTAAAAATTAAAAGCTTATAAAATTACATTTTTATTTTATTAAAACATAAAACATAAAAAATGTTAAAAACAAAAATAGCTTACTTTCAAAAAAAATTAGTGAGAAGGGTTAGTTTGTTTTTGTTGGCACAATTTATCAATATCGGATTCTAATTTAATTTTGTTCAATCTTAAATCATCTTCGACATTTAACTTGTTTCTATATTTACTTTTATACTTGAATAACCTTTTCCGTATAAATAATTTAAATTTAAAGGTGTGTTGGCCAGACTCGTACCCCTTAAAAAATCTCGAGTACCCTTAAGGGGTACGCGTATCACAGTTTGAGAACCACTGATCTAACCTAACCATGGCGTACGCCGGCAGCGAAATGATAGCGCTTTATCATTATAATCATGACTATTAGTGACCGACCGGCCATATTATTAATATCGTAGTTTTTTTTGGATCATTGTTCGGCCAACGTTGTCATTTTAATATAATAGATTTATCCTGTCGTCGTGGCCATATTTAATTATTTAATTTAATTTAATTATTTAAGTTACTATTATTATTATACATATACATATACGAGGATATATTATTTATTATTTATACTTATATATATATTTATTGTATATATTTACTATGTATTATTACTTTACTATTGATATTTAGTTATTACATAATTCAAGCCATTGAAATGTATTCATTTATTTTTGATAGACCGACAAATAAGCCTACAGTTCCTACATGTTTTTGTTGGGCACTTGCCGCACCAACAGTCCCTCCCACCCCGCGATCGCCAAAATAGTCGTCAACGCAATCACCCGACCGACGTGCCACGACCGATTCGGTGTACGAATCCGTTTATACAGCAGTGGCCAGTCATGAATCGCGTCTGATATCCCCGTGCGTCCTAACGTAACAAGACCGAGCGTGGGGGTCATTGAACGTAGACGAGCTTGTGGATGATGTACTCTATTGGATCGCTCAAAAAGTGATAAAGCTACAACATTTTTTCACCAATGGCCAGTGTATGGTTAATCACAATAAAATAGTTATAAGTTACTTTACTGGTTATTCATTATTATAATGTAATGAAATAACGTATTGCGTTACTAAAATAAGATTGTAACGAAATACATTTACTTTTCAAAAAAATAAATAAAAATATTAAATACGTTACTTTCAAGTTCCAACTGAAAAAATAAACATGAACTTATTATTAAATACTATAAAAAAAATGATTATACTACTAACTGCAATGGGCATTTTTGAGTTGTATGAATTGATCATGGATGTTGATGAAACATTCTAATTTTCAACATAAATTATATTCAACGTAGATATTTTTCCATTATCCAACCCAAAAAAAAAAATTTAAAATTATAATAATGGGATGGGGGGTATTCAAGTAAGGTTAATTATCCATCTTTATTATCTAATTTAGAATATTAAATAAATAAAACGAAAAAAAATAATAATAATAAAATAACACCTTCGTGTTACAAAATTCGCGAATCTGATGAAATCAAATACAAGTTATGACGCAGTCAACGACTATCAAATAATCGCACTTGATCTTGTTTTTAAATATCTAATACGAATTATTGTCTATAAATATTGTAAACAATTCGTTTATGATTATATACAGTTTTGTTGACCAATGGTGGCTTGAACTTTTTTTTTCTTGATTTAGATTTTATATTTTTGCACCACCTACCTCAACAAATTTTAATATAATATGAAATCAAAATATTTTTGTTGAAAAGTTTATCGGATAGTAGATATCTACTTGTTATGCGTTGAACCAGAGAAATAATAAATATATAATAATTCAATTTTCGATAAACTGTAAATATTTCAATGAAAATACGTAACACATTACTTTAAAAGTAATGGAGTTAAAGTATCCAATGCGCACAGTTAAACTATTAAGACTATAAACCACATACTTGCCCTGACTGCTTTGATGCTTCATAATTTAATTATTTTTAAATATTAACGAAATACAAAGTATGTTGTATGATAAAGGTAATTATAATTTTACGCATGTAAATTAATATACATACAATTAACAAGAAATAGTAAAAAACATGATTGCTCGTCCTATTATTTCTCAGTTTTTGTAAACCAACAGGAACAATACATGAAATACGGCGTTACAAATGTTATCATTGTTGAAAATAATGGGTACATTTTTTTTTTTCATACTTGTATCACATTAAGATAATCTTTACAATTTCTGTAACGTCAGCCAATGCTGGAAGGAGTTTGTCAAAACTGAAAATAAAAAAAAAAAACTATCTGAGAAATAACATTTCGCAAGATAGGATGTTAGACATAGCATTGATTCAATTGAAAATAAAATATCAGAGTCTCTCGATTACAACGAAAATATTGAAATACTCGCTTCACAAAGATCGAAAATAAACTTTTTAATATTTTTAATGATCCTTGACTATTGATTTGTTTGTATTAATGATGTCTTGCAAAAAATAAATAAATTAATCAAATTGAAAATTTGTTATTTAATTATCTCATGTGTGTTTAATAACTTCTATAGTATCAATTATCTAAGTACTAATACTTATACA